ATGAATTTAAAGTTATTATAGATGAATTTATTTCTATTCATATGTCTAGAAATTTTTATACTGTTTAAATTCATGTGTTTAGCAATTAATTCTTATGTACCGAATGTATTATAATAAGGTTGTCATTTGTAATATTTTATTATCACAAAAAATTTAAATTATAGAAATTGAGTTTTGAGAGTACCATTTTATTTTCTTAAATTTCTATCTTAAATTTTATTTTCTTTGCTTTTCGTTCTTCAATATGTAATAAATACTACAAAATCCTTGTCATATATAAATTTCTTGTTATTGATTTTCAATTAATTAATATTCACATTAAAGTAGTGGAGTCAATGGATCTTGACTCCATGAATCTGATCTACATGAATTTAGAGTTATTATAGATGAATTTATTTCTATTTATGTATCTAGAAATTTTAAGGGGTGTTTAAATTCATGTATTAGCAACTAATTTTTATGTACCAAATGTAATATATATATAAAAAAAAAAGTTACCATTTATAATATTTCATAATCACAAAAAAATTAAATAATGGAAGTTGAGTTTTGAGAGTATAATTTTCATTTCTTATAGTTCTATCCTAAATTTTATTTTCTTTGTTCGTTTGAAACTCATCAAATCCTCCTAACAAATTGGTATCAGATATTACTTTTATAGTACTTATAAAATATTTCAGAATAACTTGCAATGCACGTTCAACTCTTACTAATAATATAAAAGGATGTATAAATAATCATTGTCCATTTTAGTAATTTTATACGCTCACGACATTAAAGTACTTTTGTTTACAAAATTCTAATTTTGAGATGCACAACAATTTTGAAATAAAAGTTTACAAACGTTTAACTGATTATATTTTCAGCACAGTTCCAATTGATTTTCTTAAAAATATAGCAATACTAAACCAAAACTTAGTTAGTATTTTTCTTTAAGGGAGAATGTACACAAATAAGATAATAAAATAAAAAATTATTAACATATTTATAATGGTATTTTATTCCCAAAAATGCTACATAAGCCAATATTGG